AGCAGATACACATAATTTATATTTCCACTGAATGAGAAACTGCAATAATTCACTCTGGTCTTCTGTTTAGTAGGCACTGAGCTATACTGTACACTTGAATGAGGCCCTTTGGGACAAACCTCTCATTTTCTCTAGCACTCTGAATTTTGTATTTGTGATTGTTATGACAGATCTGGGTAGATCTGTCTCATTAGCTTGAGCTGAGTCTTAAATGAGCTCTAGTTATTCTTTTTGAATTAAAAGAACAGGTAACACTTTATTTCAATAGTCCACTTTAGACATTCTATTAACAGCAAGTACTTTGCGACTACATGTCAACTAGCAGTTAGTAGAGTATTAGTAGACTGTCTGCTTAATATCTTCTAACACTTTCTTCTACTAACCCTAAACCTACCCTAACAGTCTACTCTGAGGGTTAGTAGACATGTAGTTGCAAATTAATGAGAATTAGTTGACATGTAGTTGACATGTAGTTACAAAGTTACTTATAGTTAGTAGAATGTCTAAAGTGGACTATCGAAATAAAGTGTAACCAAAGAACAGGGTTTGAACATCAAAACACGCCCTGTGTGCTGTTAATTTCAGAAAGTCACCAGTGGTTTTATTTAGAAATGCCCCTCAGAGTTAGTTCATTGCTTATGCACTGTTTACTAGGCTCCAGATTGGTATTGCTGAGACGTCTGGCAGAACAGAGTGGGTTTGGATGAATCAGGGTTTGGCCTACAATGGTGGATTCTTTCTGAAGCTGAATTCATTGTACACTTGTAGAAATTAAAAAGCTGACTGTTTACCAAAACTTGTGACAAAAGTAGTCCAATTAAGGTTCAATATTCAATATGTCATTGTATCAATAATATCTTCAAAAAGCTAAAACAGGAGAGATTTTTATTTTCTTAGTTACCCAGCCTGCTATGACCAATAGACAGTTATGCGCTCTATACAAATTTCACATAGCTGCCATTCCACATGATTTAGCAGTGGCTATTAAAATGTGTTTGGCCATGTGAACTGATGCAGGTGTGTGATTTGTGTTGTGAGGGTAATGGTTTTATAGATTTGTTCTTAAATGTCTGCAGGTGCATAAAACACATTATTTGCAATGAACATTTGGAACAGAAGATTCTGATGAATTAGTTCCTCATAATTACTGAAGTTTGAAACCCATCAATATACCATGGCAGCTTCCAATATTTGCCAACCAGGCAGCATTAAAGCAAAAGTTAAAGCAAAATAATAATATATAATAAAAGCAAAATGATCTAAATAATATCCAAAATAATTTGTCAAACTTTATTGACTCTCATGTTGTTCCAAACCTTTTTTTTCCCCATAGAACTTATGAACTATGAACTATTATGTATGAACTATTTATTTATTTTCTAATACATACTTTATTTTAATAAACACATATTTAAATGGCTTACATAAATGGCCTAACAAGTAATGTGCATTTGAATCATCAGATTTTGAATCAAAACTGGAATATATCTGGAATATATTTTTTACATTGTTGAGTGTTCAGAAAGGTTAATGGAACACATTTCAGCTTCACAAGATTCTCCGTGATGTGTGACAGTGTGTTTAAAATAACAGCCACACATTGAGGAGCCATCTTGTTGGTCTGAGCCAGTACAGACATTCATTTCTAAATAGAGAATGCAAACCACTGTACACACAAAGAAGCAAACAGAAGCAATCATCTTTGCCAATTCAAAAGCCATTTTCCTAACACTTCCAGTGCCATTTTCCTCATGGAGTTATGCCTCATACTCAAATGAGTGATCTTAGAGGAGTATGTAGAGATAATGAAGAAGTAAGAAAATGAATGAAAAAATAAAAAAGTTAAACAATTTAAGTAGGGGGTATTCTAAAGTGAAACTGTGTTTATATGAACGAAAAATGCTGCCCAAATGTGTTTCCAAAGATGTCTGCCCAGTAATCTGACTTTCCTTGAAAGGGACTTTGGTTCAGTTCATGAAGATCTCTCCTAATAAACTGATGATCTAAATCAAGTGTGTTAAATAAGGGAGGCATACAACATTTCTAGTGCATGCTGTGGGTCCCTGGGATCATAATTAAAAAGCAAAGTAATGATAAAATGTATTTGGACTTTTTTTCTTAATTTGTCTAAGCTCCTTAGGAGAGAGATACATTAACTTGAGTCAGATAAGAGAGATATGCAAAATGTGCAGAGCAGAGGGTCCCCAGGACTGCAATGGAGAACCACTGCTCTAGTTATTCAATGAGTAGTATATCTAAGCTGTCTTCTCTCCAATTAAGTAGTAATAATAATATTAAAAATAAATAAATAAATGTATAAATCATACAAATAAGGGTGAAGTTCAGAGGGATGCCGGAAAACTGGCCACATGTTTAAGGTCCCAAAAGCTACATTTATAAAGTTAATCTTAGTAGTTCACCGTGAGGGATAACAATAGTAGTTATTTATTAGATCACAACTGCCTTTAAATGTATGCTATTACTTACTAAATCATTAATCAGAGTATCTAATATTGTGTTACTCATTTTTTCCTGTGTAGTTATTCATTAATGACGGAACATTATTCTAAAATGATACCGAATGGAAATGCCAAAATCTCAAAAACTACTTGTTTAACTCACAATTCAATATTGTATTTCAAATGATCATTATTATCAAATGATCATTATCTTTTTATTTATTTATTTATTTATTTAATTTTCTGGTTGGTCCAGACAATGTGCTTGTGCAGTGTGCAGAAAATGCTGCACAAATTCTGACAGCATTAACCATTTTATAGTTGTTTCTATGGTATCTGGAGCTTTCAAACAGCAGCTGCAGCTATGCTGTCATCTAACAGCAAGAACTACTGTAAAGACCAGGCAGCAACAGTGACTGACTGAAATTTGTGCATGCGTGAAGCAGAAGATTTTGTAGATTCACAATTGCATTTGTTTTATTATTTTATTATTATGTTAAGCATTTCCTGACCAAAGAGCTGTGTTTTGATGAACAAACACAGCAATATTGTGACAGTGCCACAGTGTTTGCATTTTTTTTTAAAGGGTAATAAATATCTATAATCCCTGAATCTCTCAAATGACTCTCAAATGTTTCGAGATCTATTTTCGTTCATCTCGAAGAGTACACCAAACAACGGAAGCATAAAAAATATACTCACCGAAGACACATACTGGATATCCCTGCAGAGTTTCGTCTCCCTGGGAAAGTCCACTAGATCCAGAAAATTGTCAACCACCACCTGCCCAATAATATCGTGGCTTGAAAAACGATCAAAATCGTAGACGCTGAAGTGCAGCTTCCTTGTGGGCAGGTCCGCATACGCCACAGGGAACAGGAAGACCTCATCAAACACAGGGTTTAAAGTCTTACGATGCACCTTGGTCTGGTGCTTGGTTTTGCGGTCTGGGAGAAGGTATATTTTTACATATGGGTCAGAGGTTCCAGAAAAGTCCTTGGCAGTGAGGTCTTGAGCTCGGTGGATCTTGACAATGAGCTGTTCCAGGTCACAGTCATATTTAAGAATAAAGTGGAGGCGTCCACAGCTACCCACACGACTGCTTCGGTTGTCCTCGCCATCTAGGGATCGTTGTTTGTAGAGTTCTGGTTTTAGCTGGCCCAGACTCATGCCAGTCAGAGAGTCCTGCCTCTGAAACTGGGTTACTGTGAAGTCAGGGTTCGACTGGTTCATCTGACGCCGAATTGAACTTTGCCTGTTGACATATCGTAGGAGTTAAAGACAATAATACTGGATATGACAGGCCTTTGATACATCATCATAAAAAATTTATATCAATAGTCAGTCTAACAGTCCTGTGTGTTGATTGTTAGCTGATTTAGTTAGTTGATTGTGAAATTGGTTTTATAATGTGTCATTTTACCAAAGTAAAAGGGATTATCCCTTTATCTACCCCTTTAATTTGTTTACAAGATGGCAAAAGCAATATTATACAATACAAAAAATGTTTAGGTACTAGTTACAATTTTGTAATATTAAAAATTAGACAAATTGTTCTTCTTTTAAGTAACAGCTATAGGCTGTTTCAAAAGAATGAATATATTCCTTATCCAGAAAATTTCTTGACATTTTATGCTGTAATTTTTAAATGTGCAGGAAAACACTGCAAGCCTACGGCCTTAAAATTGTCCAACTTTAAAATGAAAACTGTATCTTTATGAGGTCAGTGTCATCTACTGTAGAGACATTTAGTGATAAACTCTGATTGGACACCAAATTGACCTCTCAGCCAGTCCTATTTTTGAGAGACTGATGTTTCAACAGAATCCATTAAAGTAATTATAGAAGGTTAACTTACCTGACACAGGTCGAGGAGGGATCTGTGATTTGCCTCTGCATGCGTGTGTTGCCATGGACACCATTCTCTTGAGTCTTAGACTCAACCTCCAACGGAATATCAGGTGATGTGTGGCTTATTTTGAGGGCTGCCTCAGGCACTGGCACTGCAGGAGGAGATCCCGGAACTGCTGGAGAGACCGGAGTGGGCGGCACCGTAGTCTCTTTTACCACTGAACTTCTGGCATTATTCCGGCGGTCGAGGGTGGCGTCCACCTCAGTATAGATGGACTGGGGTTGAAGGGGTGGAGGAGGAGGAGGAGGATGAGGGGGGTCTGGATGTCCCTCCTTGGTGCCTGGAGAGAGGCCTCGCTCGCGCCATGGAATCCAGCACAATTTCCATGAAACGAAGAGAGAGACGCCAAACAGGGCCAAGCCACAAGCAGTCACCACCAATGACAGCAGGCTAATGGATATATCTAAGAAGAAAGGATTAAGTGCATACAAACAGAGGGTGAGACTAAAATGTAGGCTACATAAGTACAGAAGTTAATTTCACATGAAAGTTCTCTGGACCACAATATACGGGATCCTTAAACTGCCGGTGGGAGCACAAGCTGTTCAGGTCCAAATAGGACTATTTTAATCCGTTCTGTACACACTGTTCAGACTGAATGAAAATGTGGCTGTCACTACCAACCTTTTTCATGAATGTATTTGGTTGTAGAATGCAGTTGTCACTGTTATAAATAAGTTTGTGTGTACACAATTGAACAGGCATATTTCAATAAGTGGCAAATTGCATCAAAAATGTAACAATGCCTTAGAAGTAATCAATATATAATACATATTATGTTTGGAGTGTTTCAATATTTTAGCAAATAAAACTGGAAATAATATCACACAGCACGTTCACACTGTTGGTGTTGCATTTCAGTCTATCTATATGATTCCTTGAACATCCAGCTCATAGAGTCAGGCTTTCTCAAAGAGTCTATGAATCAAAGCTATTAAAGATAACCTATTACAGATAAATGTTAATTGGAAAAGAGGCTTTAAAATCAAAGGCAGCTTGAGAAGCAGCTCTTAGGAGCAACACTGCATTCACAAAAACAAGGTCTTGTGATTTGATTTTTTTTTTTTTTACTTTCATTCATTTTCATTAATTCATGTATTTATTATTATATTATCATATACAAAAGTCAACAGCCTAAAAATTACAATGAGAGAAACTGCAAATATTTTACAAAACATGTCATCACAAGAACAGTAAATTCACTCCATTCATTCACAGCCATTCATATCTTTGAGCAGCCACTCAGAAATCAAATAATCCTTTAATGGTCTTGAAGTAAGAGGGTAAAGCTCCAGTCTGATGTAATTTACTACCTTTTACTCAAACCTCTCATACAGACACTATAGTAGTATCTTCTTTTAACCCTTAAATGCATGAATGTTTCACCAATCATTATTACATATTCGGGTCTTTAGCGACCCGGACCTATATATCCAGCACGGATGGATCTCTAACTGCTGCAATAGCAAAAAAATCTCTTGATATTTTAAGAACAATTACAGAAATAGTTGCGCAGGAAAAAAATACTTACACATTTACATACCTCATGTCTCTAGCGACCCTATACACTTTTTACAAAAAAAAATTAATCAGAAAACTGGCATTCTTTTATATTTCAATATTTTTTTCTTCTTATATTGTTTATAATTAATAGATTGAGGAATACTAAGAAAATGGATGTCTAACTTAAAAAAATGAAGGAGGGAAGAGAATGATGTCCCGGGTAGCTAAAGACCCGAGGTATGCATTTAAGGGTTAAACATTTGGCACCTGCTTTACTTTGATAACCAATTCCTTTCAGATTGTTCCAATTTCCAGATAATGCTTACCTAGCTTTCTTCATTAATATAGCCCCTATTAAGCACACGGTATTCCCTAGACATCTAACGGAATGCCAATTCTAAGCCACTGCTGTTTGAAACATTGGGTATTGTCACTGTGATGATTGGCCCTAACCACTAGTGACTATAATGAAATCCCTTAACTTTAATTAAAATCAGGAACTTAAGTTAATTAAGAGTAAGCAGTAAAAAGGAAGCCCTCACACAGTTGACTCAAAGCAGGTGACATGTTTAATTAGGATGGACAAAACCAGTTTAATTGAGCTCCTGAGAGGTGTAGCCAAAAGTTGGCCAGGGTGAGAAGGGACCACCCATTGGACAAGAAAGCCCCCTTAATAATTTACCCAGAAAATGCAGGGATGTCAATCAGCCCAAATGTTTTTCTCTAGCCTCATACCCAAGTCCTTTATGGTTTTGTTTTCCCACCCCACTTTAATAAGAGTAGAGCTCACAATGCCTTGACACGATCTAAAAAAAAAAAAAAAACTAGAAAGCAAGTCTTAGATCACTCGCATTATATTGAATGAAGCTACAGTGTTGCAGTGTAAACAGCTTCATTAATTGTAATGGGAACAATTAAATATTCCAGACTTTTCCCCTAAAGATATAAGCATCAAAACCATGACACACTTTCATCACATTGACACACTTACTGTGTACAAGATAAAGGTACACATCTGGAAAACGCACTTAAGATTAAACATTTGATGTTCTTTGGGATAGGTTTTAAAAATCTGGTAATTATTATTATTATTATTATTTATTTATTTATTTATTATTTTTTTATTATTTTTTTATGTCATATTTGTTACATTTTTGCTATACTCAAAACGTTTGCACTACTCAATTTATTTTGGCAGTTCTAGGTTATGAAAATACCAGAAAATGAAATGCTTCCGGTCCAGACAAGCACAGTGGTCCTTTGTTACTCTTTATTTCATTGGTGTATATACTGTATAGTTAAATAGAGAGGCAGCTCTACACACAATTCAGTACGGAGATATTACAATGATGTCATTGCTGTTGGTTACTTTTTGAATGCTGAAAAGTATGTCAGTGTAAGTTAATAAGAGACTTTGATCTAGTGCAAGTCTGCAAGTGCAAGCATGCCTTTTGGGACAGAGCCAAAGAATAGTGTGATCACACCTTTACATGCCCACTGCTGCTGTGAGTCTCCTGCTCTGAGATACCGCTCTGGTGGGGAGACAGGTCCTCATGTCATGTTAAATTTACACCAGTGGCATACAGTAATAGACTTTAAAGGGTCTCTTGCTTCTTGATCCACTTTTTTTAGTAGGTTGGAGCATGTGGTACATGAGGATCCTGGGAAATCTGATAATGGTTTCCTAATGTTGGAGAAAATGGAGCACAGACCATGTGTCTGCGTGATTCCCATTAAAAAGATGACTGGTGTTATTTAAATCTTACATATTAGGTGATACTGAGTATTTAACAGGATAGTTCACCGAAAAATACAAATTTGCTGTTAATTTATCCACCCCATCCAACACAGTGTCAGTTCACGTGTGAGTTTTCCCCCACGCATATGTCATTATACAACAGGAAGTTGCACACCAGGGGTCGGCTGCACCAGCTGGACGTACTAGTATTAAGACTACAGGTTGTAATTCTAGGCTGGACGTAAAATCCGCTTTACGTAGTGCTATGTTTTGAGACTAAATCTTATGCCAATTAAAAGGTAAGTGTAAAGTGAAAAGTCATGATTTGTTTGGACATGATTAATTTTTAGGATCCATTTATGTGAATACATTTTTATTGCAGATGTGAACTGTAATGTTTGTGGCTGCCTTTTAGGTAGGATAAACAATATATAGAAATTGTCAAGATCAGTTTACGCTACCACACTGCTGATAGTAATTCACCTGACACAAAATATATTTCTGTAATTAATAATTAGTATTAGTTGTAGTCATTGCAGCATGAATGGCAACTTAACTATCACTGGGGTGTAATGTGTCAGCGTGGACATGCATCGTCTACACTGGGCCTGGTTGCGCCATAGTTTTAGTTGGTGCAACATGTGTAAATATTTATCGTAAAGCTGGATGTAGCTAAGCCCAGTGTATAGGGCTTACAGGTGCATCTCAATAAATTAGAATGTCATGGAAAAGTTCATTTATTTCAGTAATTCAACTCAAATTGTGAAACTCGTGTATTAAATAAATTCAATGCACACAGACTGAGATGCACCTGTACACCGATCTTTTTTTGTAAACACTCTCAAGACCATTTGCCTGAGGATCAAGGTAATAATGTTGTAATTAATGTAGAGTTTCTTGCACAGACCAATCACCAAACCTCGATATACAGTGGGTACGGAAAGTATTCAGACCCCCTTAAATTTTTCACTCTTTGTTATATTGCAGCGGAGCCACGGTATAATTTTACGTTACCTATATATGCCTTTTTGTCTCGCAAAGTGATGATAGCCATGCATTTAGTTTGAATCGCTAAGGACCATGGTTTTAGCTAAAAATCTATTTTTACTGATACTAACTACTTAAAGGGGTCATATGATGTTGCTAAAAAGAACATTATTTTTTGTATTTGGTGTAATGAAATGTGTTTATGCGGTTTAAAGTTCAAAAAACACATTATTTTCCACATACTGTACATTAT